CCCTCCCTCCCTCCCTCCTTCAGAGAGCTTCATCCTCTCTTTTTTGCTTTCCAAAATTTCTAGGAAAAGAAGGTACCTGAAGACAGTGACAAGACATTTCGCTAAAGAGAAAAAACAACAAGGCAAATAAGCATTAAACCTCTGAATATCTTACCTTTCTGTGAGCTGAATGTGTTTTTCTCTGTCTTTTAGTTAACTCCTATTCCTCATCTTCTTGTTCTTAGTACCCTTCTGGAAGTGAGGGACAGAGAAGGAGAAAGACAGTATCATCTGAGCTGGCTGTTTAGTAACCTTACAGTGTAAGACATGGGGAAAATATTATGGGACATTGTCTCATTGTTATGAGCCAGCTGTAAGACTGGAGAAGATGAGTTATAAAGAACTGTTATATGACTGATTGTCTAGATTAATTTTTCCCTTGGTGTGCTTGCACTCTTCTTCAGTGTCTTCCAGCAAACACCATCTAGTAGGCATTTACTCATTTTCTGCACAAAGGCTGTTAGGGATCTCTCTGGCGCTGCCAGGATTATAGTTTTTTTTTGTTGACCTTAGAATGTGTGTCCCTAAGAACTCAGGTGGTACCTCTATCCACATAACTTTCATGCTGGTAAAGTTTCCTGCCATAGTCACCCCTGTGAGCCTGAAAGCTTAAGTCTCTGCTACTAAGAAATGCCACACAAGTAGTGATTCCTCTTAGTTGGGAAGCATATCTGGTCTTCCTTAGGAATTGTGGATCTATCAGCAGGCATAATTGCATGTAACTTGTAGCATACCCTTTTGAAGACTGAAAAGCTGATGTTGCAAATGAAATTAGCCTCTCACCTTCTACATGGAGAAGGTGGGGAGGAAATTGTTTCCTTTCCCCACTTCTAGCCTATTGCCAAGGAAATTTCTAGAACAGGTCCATCTGTTATCAAGTTTCATGCTTCATTTTAACTCTTGGAGCTGATGAATGCCTAAAGAGACTCCCTGGTCTATCTCTAGAAGCTGACTGGTGTCTTTACATAAACTGTTTTCCAGGAATAGAACGACCATTTTTGTGCATTTTTCTGCTGCAACAGCTAGTTGCAGAAACTTTAGTTTCACCTGAGATGGAGCCTTGCCCCTGGATTCTTATTGCATGATTTTCCTTCTCAATCTGTAGTCTTCAGGGGTAATTTTTTTTTATCCTGCTATCTTTCCAGTCCCCAAATTATGACAGGAGAAAAATGAGGTGGTGTATCATGTTAGCTTTTTCGCCAACATGTTTTAGTTCTCCAAAACTCAAGGTATTCATGTTCATATTTCATAACTAATGATCTTTGGTCATGTGTAATCTCCCAGGAATATCAGCTTCTGGAGAATCTAAGAAATTCAGAAGGAGGACCTCATTCTAATTGATGCTGCTTTCCATCCAGTAAAGGCAGCCAGTCTGTTTTGACCACACCCACATTTTTAAGTAGCAAGTATTTCTTTACAAAGGGGGAGAGAGAGAGACAGAGAGAGAGAGGGGGGAGGGTTGTAATTGTCTTGTGATGTCTCCTTTTACTCAACCCCCTCCATCAATAAGGCATTGTATGTTTTGTGCCAGAGTGTGTGACATTCCAAGTAGCCTTTTTTTTTTTGCAAAAGAATGCAAATTTCTATTTTCTGCTTCATCTGGCTGTGTTGGGCTTATTGATGTGTGAGGCTTTTATGCTGGAAACTTAGGTAATCTCTTCTTCCCTGTGATGCTGTAGAATGTGTTATGCTTGAGCCACCAAAGAAGAAGGGCTGGGAGCAGCAGATTATTGTTTAACCCAATCTGGAGTGAAATACCGACATGTTGCCTTTGACTGCTTCCAGTATACTGGAAATGTGTGGGTTAGATCTGTCTGGGAGACATATTTGGCTAATTTTTTTTAATTAGAAAAGGCAGACATACTTTTTGACAGGAGGTTTTTGTAGGTCTGAGAGGGACAAAACAGGAATGAATGTGTTTTTAGACAATCAGAGCTCCTTAATTTTTCTTGTCTGCAGCAATAGTTTGGGGAACTTGGGTCACTGACATCCTGATGAATGCCTAGTTAGATCTCCTTTCCTTTATGTGTTTCATGTATTCTGTTGATTCACTTTTCATCTTAATACAGAAAGGGGAAACTTACAGAAATCCAAACATTTCTGAGGGTAAAAGAATGCATTCAGTGTCTAGCACTAACATGTACTTTCCCTTTTCTGACAGCACACTTGACAATTATGTCAACTTGTACCACGCCTTCTTCCTTCCTATCGAGGGCAGCACATTTTTATTGCATTTACCTTTGTTTAAATTTTTAAAGGACTGAATCCAGCTTTCAAAATAGGGATTTTGAGTGTATTCTTTTCATGCACTCAGTAAATGTTCTTATTTTGTTTTTATGATTGCGGTTTGATAAGCAGAGCATTGCCTGCAAGGCAAATATTTTATAGGTAACATTTTGACGGCAAACATAATTAAAGCTGAAAAGTTCAAAAAGCTCTTGTGCTTAAAACAACACAATCAAGAAAGCAACAAAATACAGAAAGGGAGAACTAATAACTTAAAATTGCCATGGAACTGTTATATTGAAAGAAATTTCCATAAACCAAAGGGCTTTTGAAATTTATAATCTGGGATAAGATGTCACATGAAAATCAAAGGATAGGGAAAATAGAAGTGAGGATAGTGTTTTCTGTGTGAAATATGTGTTTCTTGGGACACTGACATGTAACATAGGAAACATAAAATAGGCTGAAGTGCTCTAAAAGGGTGTTTGGAGGGAGATTAAAACTGATGCATGTGAAAGCAAAAGGATTATTTTAACTGGAAAGCTGAATACAGATTGCATCCTCAAAAGAGATGGATGGCAGTGTATTTTCTTTAAATAAATGTACATCTAAAAAAACCCTTTATGATTAATGGCAACAAGATTTTTGTGATGCTGCTATGAAGATTAAATGCATGTGGGAGTTGAAGTGATTTTGTGTTACCAGGCAGGCAGAGCCTCCTGGTGCATGGCTTTTGAAATATGAAATTCCTATTCTCATTGTGGTAGGGAAATAATGTACATGACCTGTGTGCTCAGTAATAGACCCTCACAGCAATTCTGTTTTTGAACAAATTTACTACATTTGAGGAGAGGAGAAAGAAAGAGTGACTTAAGAAGTGAAGAGCAACTTGGCATGAATATGACAGAATAACCTTTGTGCAACTTTCTGCGTAATTTCTTCATAACTACTGAATTTTATTTGATAGAAGGTACCTCACAATAGTAGATCAGGGAGTCCTGTGTTTCCATATGGAATCCTGCAGGATTATATGCAAAATCCTGCTAAGGACAATATGCTACAGTAGCTGCTTCTGAGACTGTAGGAGTAAGGATTGTGGATCTTAGTGAAATGAAGCAGAAATTTCTTTAACCATTACAAATCTGCTCCTGACCCTTCCCTACATAAATGCACACAGTATTTCATTGTCTTCATGCAGAAGTGTTTGTTTCTATTTGGTAACTTCCAAATTTTGTAAAGATAAACGCAGTGTTAACCACCTGAATGATACGCAGAAATAGTGAACTCTGGCTTGCAGGCAGTTCAGGAAGTTCCCCTTGTTCTTGCACCGGAAAGCGCTGCACAGTTTTGTTTAAATTCTGTACTCTTGCCACACAGTGCTGTAGGTACACCAACCAATTTAATTGCCATCACATGTTGGCTGGTCTTTTACATTTGTTTACTACCTTTTATAATGAGAGGTCAGAGTTTGATAGATTTCATGTGAGAGGAATTGTCCTGCTTTGAATTAATCTATATAGGAAATTATGGCTTTTTTATTTTTATTCTTTTTTGTAATCTCGTTTGCCCACAAGACTCCTCTTTCTTTTCTATTCTCAGCTCTTCTAGTTTCAAACTGGAGGGTTTTTTTCTTGTGAGGAGTTAGAAACATGGGTTGTTTCTAGGCAACGCACATTTTAGTCCCAAGGCTTTGGCAGCAGAGCACTTTGGAAGTTGTATCACGGTTAGACTTCTAACTTTTTTTTTAATTGGTCAGAGTTAGGGTGAGCTTTTATAATCAATCAAATTATTTTGTATCTAGAGAACATAGAGTAAATTCAGAGAACCAGATCAGAGAAGCTTGTTTCACTTCCTCTCATCCAGTTTCCAAAATGCTTGAGTATGCACTGAAGTGGGCCATCCCCTTAAAATAGTCCTGACCTTAAAATAGTGCTCGTGATGCATGCAGTTGCGAAGGCATTGGGATTGCATGTCTGTCCATGCAGCTCTCGGAGTACTGTGGTTGGAGATGAAGAGCTGGTGCTGGTCCTACTCCATCAGCCCCTCTCCCTTCCCCTGCAGTACTGCAGCCTGTGCTATGGCAAGCATTACCACTTTTATATTTGAAAATTAATACTGCATAATAGTAAAGTTTTTTAATCTGGTCTTTTTTTGGAGCTCTTCTTCATGAAGGGTGTTTTCAACAGGATTCATATATTGTAAGCACGTGTGTGTTAAGTACAAAGTGCTGAGTAATTGATATCCTAAATGATTATTTTAATATTTTTCTCTATTTCTTATCCTGAAATGTCAAGCCATTTCAGGATAAGAAATGTGGATAATTAAGTCATATTGAATTGAGAACTCATGGCAGATATACATCATTTTTTGTGAGGTAATTTTGGATCATGGTGTCTTTTGTGTAGAGCGACTGGAAGGTCTGAGTTCTCTGCTTATATGATACAGAGACCAACATAAATGTGGAGGAGCTTCACACACATGTACCAGTCTGCTGGAATCTTGCATAATGTGCTGGAAAAGTGAAATAAACATGTCTTTATAATACCATCTATGTTTATTTCCATATTTCTTTGAATTGAAGTAGCATTTTTTATAGAGCAACCTTGGTTGCAGGAACTCCTGAAAAATGTTCCTAATCCAATAGTACACAATATGGCATGATAAACATCATGGAGGATATCAGAATTTTAGAAGCACTGGCACAAGAAAAATGTTTCATACATCATCTCTGGCATTCAATTTCAGATGACATAGACAAAAAAAATCTTATTTCTAGTGCTGAAATCCTTTGTTAGAGTAGGTGATTATTTAGTAAGAGATTAAATTATTTACTATAGTAAGAAAATTTAAATACAAACATTTTCTTACCTCATATAGGAACTAGCATTATAAATGTCAATGTCTTTCTCCTTGGGCTGCTAAGAAATCACTTCTTTTTCCTAGTGAGTAGGAGTGTAAACAAAAATATGACTATTCACTCAAAGCCATGTCTGACTTTTTATTAACTTGGTAAGGCTTTTTAAAGAAGCTGATATGTCAAATAATACCACTTGTCAAGCTGTATATTGTTAACATGTGAAATGACTTTAAACAGAAGTTTTGGATGTATTCTGTGCCTTGGAAGAGATGAAGTCTGAACATTGAGGTCTTAAATTTTAATCCTAGCTTTGATGCTTTACCCTCTAAAAGCTGGAATCTGTTTTTTGTCTTCAAATCCTTATGTGTGGAGGAGATAACTCTATTTTTTCTTATTAAGTCTTTACAGCTTATTAAGTGCTTTGTTTACATCAAGATACATTGATGTATAATACAAAATTTATATCAAAATATATTGTCTGGCATTTTCTACACAGTGTTGACAATTTTGGGCTCGGTCTTCTGCTTCAGACAAAGCAGATAAAACGCATGGTGTCATCGTATGTTGGAGAGAACGCTGAATTTGAACGCCAGTATTTATCTGGTGAGCTTGAAGTTGAGCTTACACCACAGGTAAGAGAGGGGTGATCTCTTTTCATCTTAAATACTGAGTAGAATAATGCTGACATGTTCTTATAAAATTGTTTTGCAATCCAAATGTTTTGCTTGTGTGCAGAAGGCACTTGCCATCTGTGGTGGCCTGATCATGACTGGACTCCAGATGCTCACTAAAGCCTCACTCTAAACTCCTCTCAGCTGGACAGGGGAGAGAAAATATAACGAAAGACTCATGGGTTGAGATAAATAAAGGGAGAGATCACTCACCAGTTACGATCATGGGCACCATAGACTTAGCTTGGGGAACTTAATTTAGTTTATACCAATCAAATCAGAGTAGGCTGAGAGAAGTAAAACCAAATCTCAACACCCTCTTCCCCTACTCACACTTCACCCCAACCCTCCTTTCTTCCCAGCTGTAACTTAATTCACAATTTACCCACTCCCTGCTAGTAGCACAGGGGGAGGAGGGAATAGGGGGTTGTGGTCAGTTCATCACATGTTGTGCAGCTTCTTCCTGTTCCAGAGGACCCCTCATGCTCTTCTGCCATCCAGTGTGGGTCCCTTACACACGGTGCAGTCCTTCAGGAACAGGCTGCTCCAACATGGATCCCTTGCAGGGTCACAAGTCCTGCCAGCAAACCTCCTCCAGTGTGGGCTGTTCTTTCCATGGGGCCACAGGTCCTGCCAGGAGCCTGCTCCAGCACAGATTTCCCATGGGGTCATAGGCTTCTTTCAGGCATTTACCTGCTTGGGCATGGGGTCCTCCAAGGGCTGCAGATGGATTTATGGTCCCATGTGGCCCACCATGGGCTGCAGGGTCACAGCTGCCTTACTGTGGTCTTGCCACGGCCTGCAGAGGAATCTCTGCTCTGTCACCTAGAGTACCTCCTAACCTTCCTCCTTCACCTCACCTTAGTGCCTGCAGAGCTGTTCCTCTCACATATTCTCACTCCTCTCTGCTCTGGATGGGTATATATCTGTGCAAGAGGTTCTTCTTCAATGCTCTGTCCCAGAGGCACTACCACTGTTGCTGATGGGCTCAGCCTTGGAACCAGCTGGCACTAATTCTTTGAACACTGAGGGAAGGTTCTGGCATTTTCTCACAGAAATCAGCCCTCTAGCTACCAAAACCTTGCAAAACCAATACACCATTTTAGGGTCATGCATCTGTCAAGAACTGACTGTCTGTTACATGTGTGAATTCCTTCAATGGCATTAATTAATTAATAATAGATTGTATTCATCTGACATATATGTATATATATATATGTATACGTAGATACATATACATACGTAGATTTTTTTTAAGGTTGTAGAAAAAGTCATAAAATGTGCTCAGTGCTGTAGCACCATGTAAAAGGAGTGAAGTCAAGGGGCTACTCTGTTCCCATCTTGGTGACAGGTTTTGGGAATGTTGCCTGTGCAATGCCTGCCATCTAGTGGGCAGGAATCAAATTCAGAGATTTCCTTCATTTTGAGGCAAAACCCTTTTTGGCTTGTTCATTAACTCTTAACAAAATTAACCTGTGCATACTGTTAGGAGTTAATTTAAAAATTGACTTTGTAGCACCGTATTTTTAATTATTTTGCACTGCCAAGTTACCCAAATAGCATGAATGCAATCAGATCCTAAAATCATGGATATCAGTTACGTTCTATTGAGATCAACTTCTGTGAAGTTGGTGCTCTAACTTTAAAGCCTACAGCATGTTAGTGTGTGGCATTTTCAGAGGAGACACATAAAATTTGGGCTTTAAACAGCTATTTATATAAGTTTCTGGGAAAAACAGCTGTGCTAAATTTTTATTAAGAATAGAATCTGGAGCTCCCTCTCTTGTGAATCTCAAGAATCACAGAATGGGTCAGGTTGGAAGGACCCACAGTAGGTAATTTGGTCCAACCTCTTTGCTCAAGCAGGGTCATCCCAGAGCACAAAGCACAGAATTGCATCCAGATGGTGCTTGGTTATCTTAAGTGAGGGAGACTCCACGACCTCTCTGGGCAACTTGTTCCAGTGTGTGGTCAGTGTCACAGTAAAAAAGTTCTTCCTCCTGTTCAGGTGGAACTTCCCATGCATTGTTTCTGCCTGTTGGCTCTTGTCCTGTTGCTCAGGATCCCTGGACAGAGCCTGGCTGCCTCCTCTTGGCACCTCTTCTTCAGATGCTTATAGGCATTGTTGAGGTCCCCTCCCAGTCACCTCTTCTCAAGGCTGAACAGGTTCACTTCCTCAGCCTTTCCTCATAAGAGAGAAGCTACTATCCCTTAAGTATCTTTGTTACCCTTCACTCCAAGACCCACTCCAGGAGTTCCATGTCCAGAACTGGACACAGCACTCCAGACGTGGCCTCACCAGGGCTCAGTAGAGAGGCAGGTCAGCTCCCATGACCTGTTGAAGATGCTCTTCTTGATGCACCGCAGGACACACTGCTGCCTCATGGTCAGCTTGTTGTCCACCAGGACCCCCAGGTTTTTCTCCACTGAGCTGCTTCCCAGCAGGTCAGGCCCTGGCCTGTACAGGTGCATGGGATCATTCCTCCTCAGGTGCAGGACCCTGGATTTTCCCTTGCTGAATTTCCGATTGTTCTTCCCTGCCCATCTCTCCAGCCTGTCGAGGTCCCTCTGAAGGGCTGCACAGCTCTCTGGGGTATCGGCCGCTCCTCCCAGCTTTGTGTCATCAGTGAAAGTGCAGAGGGGGCATCTGCTCCCCACCCCCAAGCCACTGATGAATAAATTAAACAATTCTGGCCCTGGGGGACACCACTAGTGACAGGCCTCCAGCTAGATCCTGTGCCACTCATTGTAATGCTCTGGGATCAGCTGTCCAGCCAGTTCTCAATCCAGCTCACTGCCTTCCCATGCAGTCCACTCTTCCTGAGCTTGCCTATGAGGATGCTGTGAGAGAACGTTTCTTAGAATTGAACATGAGTGGAAAAGTTCATTTTATACCCAGTCAGCAGACCTGAAAATAGCCAGACATTTGTCATGTCTGATGTTTCAAATGTCACAAATCTCAAAATGCATTTTTTCCTATGTAATGTTGGATACTTTCATTGTGAGCTCCTTGGACATGTAGTTGGCTCTGTGGGCTACAGATAAGCTATGCAGATCCAGCATGGAAATAATGGGTCTACAGTATATAATAGGAAACAGTATGGTGAATTAATTACTTGCTAGGAGATGTGGGGATTTGAAATATTTGTGTCAAGAAAAAGAGTCTTTCCTAAAATAGTTTGGTATAACCTTAGGCAAAATGGGAGACTTTTGTGTTACTGTTGCACAATAAGGAAGAGGTCACAGTGAGATCCTGAAATGCTAAGGCTTCTTAGAGCACAGGATTCTGTATTGTTGCATGGTTTGCATCTGCCTCTTGCTACCATTTTGAAAACAACCCAAAAGCCATTGTGCTTCTTGCAGAATAACTGGGGAAAATAAAATCTGTATTGTAGAGGCTGCTAAACTGGATAATTGACCATGATGTTCTTGTCTTGCTTTAAATCCAGGAGAATATTAAAAAAAAAAAATCCAGGAAATGACACTAATCTAATGAAAAGCAAGCACACATCTTTGGCTGTAATCTCCAGAATTAGGAGAATGAGGAATTTTTGCTGTTAGTGTTCTGTACTATAGCTGGACGTAGAGAAGAGTGCAGACAGGGTGGTCAAAGAGACTATAAAACTGCTCTGTTGGCTTTTTGGTATTCTTGGCACAGGCAGCCCAGATCACTGAACTCCCTCTTCCTTTCTCAATCTGCCATACTTGGCTGTTTCAGCTAGGAGTGGGTTCTGAAGTTTTTCTTAGAATGTTGAAGAATGAACATCAATGTTTAAGACTGTTAGAGAAGAAAACCCTTCTAGGGTATGTTGCCAGGTGGGAAAGAGGAACTCTGTACTATTCTCGAGAATAATGGGATGGAAAACAAAGTGAAAGAGAGGAGATACAGCCAAGTGCTGGCCCCTGGTATTTGGCATGTAGTTGTATGACAGTGTTATCTTGAGCAGTTAATGATTGTATGTCAAGCATTTCTTGCCATATCCAGTACTAGTCTCACACAGGAAGCTAAAATGTGAGGAAGGAATAGATGTTCACATGTGTCTACTGTGTCCAGAAGGAAAAGCTACAAATGACAGGATATAAAGTAAAGTTAATGCAAATCATTCATCGAAGTTTGATTTTTTGTTCCCAAATGATGATTTCTTAAATGTATTTTCCCTTAGGGTACACTTGCTGAACGTATTAGAGCAGGAGGAGCAGGAATCCCAGCATTTTACACCAGTACTGGCTATGGGACGCTGGTGCAGGAAGGGGGTGCACCCATCAAGTACAACACAGATGGCACCATTGCTATTGCCAGCCAGCCAAGAGAGGTAAGAGTTTTTAGAAGTTCTAGAGTGATTTGGCATCAAGACCTGGTCCAAGTGAAAGCCTACCTTGCTAAGTTACTCTTCACTTGTCCGTTCTCTGACCAGGTTTGCTGTGTATTCAAACAAAATTTTGTTCCATGTGACTGTAGTGCATAGAGCTGTTTGAGAACAATCTCCTGTTAGTGAGGCAGGTGCTCTTTAAATACTGCCCCATGCCGTAAGCAGCCCTGCAGCTGGACACGGAGCTTCAGTCTTATGAAGAAATGGGGGATTCTCATGTTAAACTGGGAAGAGCTCAGTTGACACAAATTTCAGGAAATGCATTTCCCAACATTTGAAATGCAATTTAGTCTCTGTTTTTAAAACCATGAAGAAATAGACTGTGGCTTTCAATGGAGAAACAAGGGTTTCATTTTGAAATCTGATGTAGAATTTGGAGAGGGAAGAGATATCTCAGTGCCACAATTTTTCTTGAAGAAATGGGTGGGGCTAATATTTCGTGGTCCAA